CCCCAAAACCCCAAAACCCCAAAACCCCTCGTCAAAATAACCCAATTGAAAATCCAAACTATTAATAAATTAAAATTATGAAAAAGATAAGCTATTAGAACTTTTGTTCTGAGCAGTCCCGTCTGCGTTTATCCATGGGCGGCTATTCTCCCTTTCTATTTTAAGGATGCGTACATATTCATACATGAAGCTCTCACTGGGTTCAGAGAGGCGGGAGTCTGAGTCTATGAGGAGTTTGGTCTCCATGTCTTCTCGTTTATCTACAGGAGGGTCAATGGGACTGATTAGGAATATAGAAACATTAAGCTGAGAGTGCTAAAGTGGCACAATTGAAGAGTCAATTTTGGAGCTTACTTATTTCTTCCTTAACCTCTTCTAAAGTAGATTCATCAATGCTTTGACCTTTGGGTTTGATGTCAGTAGCTTGCTTTTTGTGGTAGATGAAAAGTGATGATTTTTCAAATGGTGCCCGGATGTTGTAGCCGCCAAATATATCTTTGAGATAGCCTTTAAAGTTGACGAGCTTCATACTCACTAGTACATAAGCAAGGAACAAAAGCTGAATTGCTCCACTAGCAAAGAGATAAGCCATCCAATGACTTTTAAAAGGAGATTCTTCATCATCAAACTCCATTCTCTCTGAAAGATTGATTTTATAAGCTATTTCTCAAATATCAGATATTCCTTCTGAGAGAAAGTAAGCAATTGATAAAACGGTAAGGAGGATTATATCTTCAACTTAGTTTGTCCATAATAGAAGTTCAAGTTCTTCCTTAATCATAAGAGGTATAGAGATGACAGAGCTATTATTCCAATGAAAAACATTAGGAATAGCACTCCTTTAGAGTAATACAAGAATTTCTGCATCACGTTTGATATTTTTCAGATTCCAACACTTGATTTCTTATGGTCATCTTTTCAATAGAGGCATGCACAGTTCTCCAACCCTTCAAAGATTCATATGACAAGCATTATTATGAATAATAATGTGTGAATGAAGAAAATAAAGATTATTGAGATCTTCTCGATCGTCTTTATTTTTCGCAACATAATCTTGTATGGAACTTTAACAGATATTTTTGAGTATAAGTGAATATGTACAAGAAGAATTATCCATCAGGTGAAGTTAAGTAGAATAAAGACGTAGATATTGATATCAAACATGTACCAATAAAGTACGGAATAGGGGATATTATTATGCATAAATATGTTCATGAAAAATGCCACAATAGTAACAGTAAAGTGTAAGATCATATTAATGTACCTCGCCACATCGAACAGATCAACATCTGTCTGTCTCCACACTTTGATTAGCCTCCAGAATGAGGTTAAGACTACTCAAGTTGCAATAGTAAGAGAGCCGATAGCCCAGGCTGTCAGTAGATTTTCAGTCGCTCCCATGCTCAAAGAAAGTTCTATAAATATTATCTACCAAGGGGTTTTGGGGTTTTGGGGTTTTGGGGTTTTGGGG